ACGCTCAATACATCGTTAGAAATAACGACTATTTTAACTTTTCAAAAAATCAATTTTTGTTTTAAACGCACCGTGGTGCCCTTCGGAATATTGTTTTCATTTAATTTTATAATTGGTGCTTTAACTCTAATATCAAACTTAAGCAAGTTATTTTCAATTGGCGTAAACGTGTTTTTACCACTGAAAATCACCGGTGCGACGCCCTTTTAAGTACCCATTAACATGTATATCAACAACAATATTAGATCGCGTCGGGTAATAGTTAAACTGAGTAAAATATTATGTTTATCACAATATGATTGGTTTTGCATTTTAATTGATACCGTTTGGGTTCTAGTAAGACGTTTATCGTGGATAATTTATTCGAAATAAAAACAAAAATTACAGTCGTTTTGTACAATAGAAAAATAATAATATTTCGTACATGTTTAGTATCACTGTATATTATATTATGTCTGCGGCAAAATTGGTTCGAGCGGAATTTTGATTTGACAGGTCGAGATAACAGCTGATTTCTAAATTAACGCTGACAAAACAAGATGGGAACCGATGAAATGGACGAGGCTATTTTATCTTCTAGACGGTGGGTTTCTCGGTAAAACCCCGGCAGGCAAAGAGAAGAGTTTTATGTTCATAAATATGGAGACAAAAGATTATTTTTTTTTATTTTTTATTTAACAGATTATTTACAACCTATACAATATAATTAGTATAATAAGTAAATGGGTTAATTACGATTAAAAATATGAAAATAAACTGCATGGCTTGAGTGGCCTAATAAAGGAATGGCCACGTTTCTACACAGTAAATAGGTCAATATTTGTTTTTTGAGTTATGTGCTCAATAAGCACTAATTTTTACATCCAAAAGTATCATTTTATACTTAAAATTATTATAAAACTTACCAAATTATACAGGGTAATTCATTGATGATAAGACAATCATTTCTTCTTGAAATCATTGCGATTTTGTAGATTTTCTTTTGATAACATTTTGGTAATAAAATATATTTAAACTATTAATATTTTATAAACTAGCTACGACAGTAAAACTTATTGTAAATCGGTTAATATTATTGATACATCTTTTTTATTATTAAATATAATATTATAAAACATAATGAGTTATGTGTTTTCATCTTTATAATATTCTGATTATTATAAAGATAAAATTATAATTATAATGAAGAAAGATTATTGCAATTAGTATTTTACTTTTTGAAGACATTTTGGTTTACGTTATTTTACTAGGTTAAATTATCCATATATTTAACTAACAATAAGTTTTAAACTCAAATGGTGACGTATATAACATATTCATTTTTTAAACTAAGAGTAGTTTACTGAAATTTTTGGCTGGTCGATATTAAGTTTTATCAGATGAGTGTATTAACAAGTGTCAAACTAAACACGGGTTTTCTTTAAATAAATAAGAAAAAAAAAAGTTGGAATAAAAGACGATCAATGATATATTATTTGACAATTTCAAAAAAGAAAGCACTATTTTTTTTGTTATAAATATGGTTTTAAATTTCTATACTAGAGTTTTAAAAAAGCGAGGTCACGAGAGACGCCAAATCTACTTTGTTCCAAGGACATCAGAAATATATATTCATCGATTATTTTAAAATCGAAATATCCCGATACCACTTTAAAAAGTGGTATTTCGTTTCCAAAACAACGAATCGAATGTTTTCAATTAGACAGAGTAAAACTTATTTTTAAAACAAAATGTAATTTATATCCTCTTTTTCAGTTTCTATGGGGACTTGTAATGAAATTAGTTTTTCAGTTTTGTGAACTCATCTAACTGATCATCGGACCTATTTGTGTACAGACTGATGAGGTATGTGATCAAAAAAATATTCAGTTTATACTCGATCATCGAGTAGAGAGGGAGGGAAAGTTATTTCTTAACAGCAAGACCTTAAAAGCAATTAATGATAATTTTCAAGTTTCCACATTGACACGCTAAAACTTAACCAATCATAATACTCAAAATAATTTCAATATAATGTAATTGTCATACACAATGATCAAAAGTTGTATTAAAACAACTTGTATATGGTTTATTTTATAGAGACTTTTATAGAAATGTTTTATTTAAATTACAATGATAAAACTTAAGACGACTGCGCTGGTATATAGCTGGTTTACATAACAAGGATAACAAAAAAAACTTTAATTTTTCAGCCTTCTAAAAAATTATAAAAAAAAACAACAAATAAATGTTATTATTTAAAAAATAATATACATATTTCTTTAATAACTAATAGTTTAAAGCTTCTTATAACCGCTTCCTGAAAATGACAAATAATTCATTTTTTTTTCATAATACTAACTGTCATACTCGTACATGGGAAGGCAACGTTTTTATTAGACCCAGACACAAACTTATATAGAAGTTTGAGTACCTAATAATTAAAAAGAACAAGTATATAATTCTGACATCCAAAACATAATCAGCTGTGACGCATAATTACCAAAATATGTAAAAATATGATTTGACTACCATCAAATCGTCATTTCTCTTCAATATCCATCTTAGCGGTATGAATCAAATATTTTTCAAAAAAGCTATAATAATTATAATATTAAATCACACGACAGCAACTTTTCACTACAAACACAATTTAATTAGCAGCGTAATAGAACTTGGCTACAAGATAAACCATCGCTAAAATCATCCGTTTATTCACCGTCTGTTTATTACTAGTACATGTCCGCGAACAGAAAGCACAAAAACGATTTGCTACAGCTCTTTGGTAACACATCAGACTACCGTCCAATGAGCAAGTATAATATAGTAACCTTGGCCCGTTGCTTAATCGTATGTTAGACCATTATTTTGATCACAAATCGGTTTCCCGGATCGTTCGTATCCTTATATGGTACGCGTTTGATGTTTATCATAAATAGCTCAATGCAATCACCTAGACCAGGGTACACAAGTTACTCAAAAAAAAAATTGTATCTAACTACTAATTGTAAGTTTTATAAAACTAAACTACCAATTACGAGTTACAAAAATCCAAAATAATACATTCCTATGATCGCTTTTTTTTTTTGTGAAATTTAATCATCTCATTTAATCTCATTATAAATAAAACGGTTTTTTTGAAATATTGAAAGATTACTAAAATGTTTATTAATTAAAAATGTTCGACTATTTTCAGATTGACTCTAGGTGTCTCATCTTGCATACAAGTCATATTACCATATTAGAGTGGTAATTTACGAAAAAATTGTTTTTTTTCGATTCTACTGACCTATTAGGATCAATTTCATTGAAAAGGGGGTTAAATTCAAATATAATTAAATTTAATGATTCAATAAGTTTTAGTTTTCTTTGAGCTAATTTAACTCGTATTATGTTTGTACGAATTAGTGAATTAAACGTTTTTTTAATTCTTCTTTCAAATTTGCTCTAGTTATTTTAATATTTTTTTTTAAATAAAATGTAGAAGGATTCTACAGGGCCAATAAAATATAATGAACAACAAAGTTTGTTTATTTATTTTAATTTTGTATCCTAGCAAATTTAGTAAAGAAATCATTGATACATTCATTGGTTGTGCCGGTTGTGGTCTTAATTAGACCACAATATTGGTTGTGTGGCCATCGATTTAGCAATTAACCTAAAAGGTCGAGCACCATTACCAAAACGGTAGTCATGCCGCTGGCGTTAAGCAAAATACGAGTAATCCCACGGAGTAAAAACTGAACTAAATGTCACTCTCAACTCTTACGGTTAATTTAACCCAACGAAGACGATCATGATGATATATTTTTAAAAAAAAGGTCTCTTTGAAATGGTTATTGTTCGCCTCTCTCATATTTTATTTAATTCCCGGAGCTTTATCACAACATACAACATTAAGCCATCTTCTCTTTAAAAATGCCTTGGATTAGAACAATATCCAATTACAGTAGAAATTGCGCGTCGGCTCCCAACAGCTAACAAAGCCTTGACACATCTAACACATGTAATTAATTCTATCTCTTAAGAATTTAGACTATCCCTGTTTAACGGAAAACTTTAATTATCGTTGTAGTACTTTAACGGAGTATGCTATACGATACCACGTCAACATGGAATCCTACAGGACTTTTTATTACAAAAAAAAAAAAATAGTTATTTCTTTAAAGTATGTATATACCGGGAAAAAATCAGTTTATTTTTTATTTTAAGGAATCTCGAGTTATACTGTCGTAGATATTTACTTTTTTTACTATAAATTATTAGTTTGTTTCATTTGAAGAAAAAAATACTTTTCGTTATTAACTATTACAATATCATTGTTTTCACCCTTTATATAAACAAACAAACAAATAGTAACAGTTCTAAAAAAAAAAATAAACTTGTGTCCACAGCCGTGCAGTTTTTAAAAATTATGTTATTCAAATAACGCGTACTCAAGTATGCAACGACAGGCATTTGGCAATGCGCCATACAAAATCTAGCCACAATATCAATACTGTTGAATTTATATATTGCATGATTAGCTGTTGTTCCAGCCAAGGGTGTGGGTACATCGCCACGTCGTTTTAATCAATATTAAACTATCAACCCGAATAGTGTCCTATATCATAGACGAAGTCCGTCAATAATTATTGTTACAAATTTTATAATTTTCGAAGCGTTGAGCAGTTGACATTAGAAAATAATAACCGGTTTAGTGTCATGCGATTTGTGAAAAATATTATCATCGTTCATGACACCGAAAAATCCATAGAAGGGTCCGATTCCGTTTACCGGATAACGAAGCCGAGTAAATGGTCTTATGCTAGTAGTTGTAGTATTACTAATGAGAAAGTGGCAGGATTAAACAGTATCCGTTCTGTTACCCCGTAATGACTGTCACGTCCAAAATACGATTTTCCGCAATTTGTCCGTGTCATCTTTTACACTTTAATATTGTAAAATGATATCCAGTTATCTCCGGTTATGCTGCAATAATATGTAGGTACTATGTTTTTGAAAAGCGTTACCGCACTCACCCTCGATGGATCTTGGCAATTAGTCCACGCTAGTAAGCCAGCCGACGATCGTCTGCCTATCATCAACGACCGGCAGCCAATCGAGCTGCTCCTTCGACTTGTCCTGGATATTCTCCGACTGGACTGACATGCTGGTGGGTTCCTATTCACACAAGAGTGTTTTGCCCGTTCTTCCACTGCAGATAAACAAGCATATAAAATTAGAAAGAAAAAAAAATAGTTTTTCCTTAAAGGAAAAACATTGAATCATGAATAATTCTTATGGTACCTATACTTATGTAAGAAATGTTCATACTACTGATAAACCCATCCAGTCACTTTAAATATGTGTTCATGTCCATGTTCATTTTCCAACCCTCCTCCCTTCTCCTGCCATTTATTATCCTCCCCTATACACTTTCCTCCTTCCCTCACGTTCCATTTCGACTCCCTCTAATGTCTCCCCTAACTTTTCTTTTTCTCTATCCTCTTTTCTCCTTTCCTTCCCCTTGTTTTTTGTAATAAAATAAATAATAAAGTATTATTAGCTCCCAAATATTTTATTATAGGTTAAGTGTTTAAATTGAAGGTGTCGCAAGGGAACCGGTTGTTATCAGTGTTGGCCGAAAAGGTTAGGTATATTTTAATAGGTTTCCCACCCGTGAAATTATTTTCAAATACCTGTTGACTATTGGTTCACTCTCACATAGAATTAGAAATGTATTACGGTCTAAGTGCAATTTTCCACTTTTTTATTGATTTTTCATATGTTTTAGCTTCGGTGCGGTTTACGTTCATTCTTGGTAATAACTTACACATAAAAAGTGACAATATTGGTTAAGTAGCATGTTATAGTTCACACACTCATTATTCGAAAGTAAGCGATTTCTTAATTCATTAAACAATTTATCATATTGAATACTATTTTTATTTTAAAAGATTTCACACTTGCCAAACTCATTTGATACAAATTATAGTTATTATCTTGATATTTAATCAGTCTTAGAAACTGTTTAAAATAAAACTTTTTTTTTTTAGAAACAAAAAGGATAAAGCATAAGAACTCGAGTTACAATTTCGTTTGGATTACTTTCGTTCGCTGTTTCAATTATTTTCAGAAATTAAGTTGCGCAACTTTTTGATTGCAAAATGCGTAACTAAAAAGTACTTATTAAAACATGACTATTCAAGAGGAAAATTGTACTTTAAATAAGTACTCGCTATTTGGTTCATCGTTAAAACTTTATTGAACATCAAATAACGTACAGTTCAACATTTTTCTACAGGGTGTTTCAAGATCGAAAGATATAACTTGAAAAATCATTACTGTCAGAAAAAACATTTTCATATTATAACTGTGTACCTTTTCGAAAAAACATTATATTACAATTATTTTTGAAAAAAATTATAACAACAACAAAAAATCAATTTAATGGCACATTGAATTTGTTTGTTAAAATAATAAAAAAGTTCTAAATTATGAAATTTAAAAGACTTGTAAGATGTCCTGTCAAATCTGTGTTGACAATTCCACTTTAATTGTTTGCCTTATTTTTACTTTTTTTTTTAGTATTTAAAGCTAATTTCTCCAATAAAAACAATTAATTTGTGGTAGCTCAAAAAACGGAAGCTATAGCGGGCCTAACTTTATGTGGGATGATTTGTATTGTTTTGAAGTCATAGGATTATTTTAATTTTAGTCATGCTATTGTGATCAAGTACACGCTGTATATGAGAGAACGTGGGATAAGACTGTATCACGAGGTAATATAAGACAATTAAAAGACCTCTGCAATCAGTGTTGTTAACACAAATTGTACTCTCTAAAAACGTACTTTGTATTGCCAGACTTTTGCTTGTTTTTTTTTTAGTACTAAAAATATTTTTAAAATAATTTTTTACATTTCTACGAATTCAGACAACACACCATGCATCGTTAAAAGTGAATAGTAAACATGAAAATGTTTGTAAGATCTTTAAGGGCGAGCTGCTATCAAACCGTGGTCCCAATTACAATTTAGGAGGACACAATTATTATAATATTTGTTTTGACAAAACATATTATCAAAAGATTTAAAAAAATCGCATTATTTTTATGTATTATATTTAGTAAACAAAACAAAATGTATAGTAATAATGTTTAAAATCCAGACGATTGTCTGATGTATGATGTCTATGTAGATGATTCTTCGAGTACTCTAACCCTACAAAATAAAATCGTCAAACATATAGATCACACACAGCAGCTTACTCAAAAAAAATATATATATACAATAATTCAATTTGTGTAAGTCTCTTTCTAGGTAAGCATTTTAACGAAAAAGTCGAGGTTTCAGGCAATTACCTTCACAGAATCCGTAAAGACATAATAATAAAAATCAACATCGTTACGACCCGCAGATATGGCACACGGCCTGGGGGAAAACGACAAATCTAAACAAACTTAAAGGAACGAAAGCGACAGACGAAAAATGGCATTCATCGACAAACACTTCCTACCATGCAATCCTACACTTAGGATTAGAGCAAGAACTCAAAACTCATCCACAGGCCTGTATTTTAAGAGGGTTTTCGGTGGGAAATTGGCCTGAGGGGTGCACTAAATAAATAGTTTAATCGTTATTAATGTCTACTGCAATAACAAATATGTTATTTGCCGTTACTGTATTCTCGGTATTTCTTACTCCTCAAAAATAGTAAAACAAGATAGGATTTTTTTTTTTGTCTAAATTCAAGACATCTTCTAAACCGTTGAACCGAATTCATTATATAGCAACTCTATAAATCAGAAATAAATCATAACCTGAATAGTAGGTACATGACTTAAACAAACATTTAAAAAGTTCACTCATTAGTCATTCCTATTCAAAATATAAAAAAAAACACCCAAATAGATTACATATTTTACAACTTGAAATTACGTAATTTTTTTTAATACGTAATTTTGTAATTACGTAATTATCATAATTTTTTTGAAATAGTCTACTTAGTTCCAAATTTTTAAGGAGTATTTTGTATAGTACTATCGACAAACCAAAAAATATCATTAACCCTTTTCCCTAAAAGTGGTGGAAAGATTTTCTTTATTTCGTTTTTTTCGAGATTTAGAGTCTGAAAATTAAACTGAAAGAAGATTTAGAATGGAGCTATAACATCTGTTTACCAAGATTTTAGCAATATTACAAATCATCAAAACAAAAACTTCCATAATAATATACGCGAAATTGCCTCTCCGCAATCCTGTGAATATTTTAACAATAAGATAAGAGGCCATTTTAAATTGCATTAGGTTGTTAAAAAGGCCTCGTCAATCTAGCCAAACACAAATAATAGGTCATCTACGAATAATTGTGCTATGAATCCATCACAATTAAATTACATTGCAGCGTGGATCTAGAGAACTATAATTATTATAACTATTAGGACTAAATTAACTATTTGACATATTATTACAAAATGGCGTTTGAAAAACGACACGATAACCTCATATTTAGGGACATTATGGTAAAAGTGCAAACTAATGAGGCTAAAGTATTATTGAATTTTGTATGGTAATGGTAAACAAAATAAAAAATACAATGTATTTTATTTAATTTAGTAATGTGTTTAACGTGTAATAATTAAAGTATAGTACAATTTCGACTAGCGCTCTTTAAAACATGCATTTAACGGTTAATTATTAAATTTAGTATTCTATTAATATTTTGTTTTTCGTGAATACCGATTTTCATCATTGATTTAAAGTTTTACAAATGGATCACAATATTAATGTTAATAAAAAAAAATATGTTGTTATTGCTAAATTCAGGAAATATACACATGACAAACAAATGGGTAATTTCAACGATAATTAGCAATTTTAATATAAAATTCATATTACTATATCATAACAATACAGCAATAAACAATAGCCTATTCAAGCTACATGCGGTTGAAAATCGCTTATAACGTATCATCCATTCACATCAGCTTGATGTACGTCGTACATGTGGAAACCACACAATAACAAACGATGATTAACTACCTTTTAGATTCGCAAGGCATCACTAATTTCTCGATACATATACTATATACATACTAGAATGGCGGTTTGCATTTTGTGAAGACAAAATTGATCATAATAATTGGAAAAGAGCGGATCTCAAAAACTTTATGAATGAAAAAAAATCCATCATTTAAAGACTCGTCATCTAATTCATTATTGGCGAGAGACAAAAACAAACGCTTTCTATTGCATTCTCGGTTTCAATAACCTAAATCCATCCTCCAGTTTCAAAACAATAAAAACTTAATGAAAACATACATTATTCTTAATACGCTGAGACGCACAATTTAATGTAGTATGAAATCGACAGAATCTCTTAAGTCGTTTAATAATTTCCCCTTAACGCATATTAAGCAAAGAGATTACAGTTTTGAATTTCGGTAGAGATTTTAATAAATAAATACTCAAATTCATGTAGGTACATATATTTTTTAATTAAATTTTAAAATAAAGAAATTGTAATTATAATAAAAACTGTATTAAATGTTGTATGTTACAAAGTGCCAAAACTCAACAGAAATATTCAAAAGTAAAAATTACCAAATTAACATGTAAATTAAAAATGTATTTTCGGTAGGATTTGTAAAAAAACTCTATTTGTGCTCTATAATAAATTAATTAGATAAAAGTGCAGCGGTTATTCAAGAAAAAAAAATCTAAAATGTTGGGAAAATACAAAAAACTATTGTTTTGATAAACACAAGTGTTTTAAACGATCTAAAAAAGCAAAAACCCATTATTTTTGCGCTAGAAACATTTGATATGTTTTTAGGTACTTATATTGTGTCTTTTTGTGGCACTCACAGCTGGTGGACTTATTCTATTTCCTAAATAGAACATGAATAAAACATGGTGAAACAGAAAATAAAAACGTTTCAAACAAATCAAAATTTGGTTTATTCGCCAAAATACCAAAAAAAACCATATACAAAAAAAGCTGACTAAATGAAAAAAATGTAATAAAGACATTTATAATTGGCATATTTAGTTTTAAATCTAATTAATGATATTATATAATTATCTTAGGTTTATTTCCCTTCGAAAATAAAAGAGATGTTTGTAAGTATATTTTATAGGCTTTAGAGCGTTGACTTGTTCCAATTGATACACTATCTTGTTTGTCTCACTCTACAGAGTGTTTTGCCACCAGAA